TCACTAGTACCGGGTTGGCCACCCAGGTCGGATACCGGGCCTCGCGAATGTATTCATTGTCTTTGAGCTTGATCACCTCTTCCTCCAAGGCTTGTTGTCGGTCTGGGCCGAGCTTCCTTTGTTTTTGCCCGACCGGCTTGACCGTGGGGTCGACCAACAGGCGGTGGCAGGCGACCTGCGGGTCGATGCCGACCATGTCTTCGTGGGTCCATGCAAAGACGTCTGCGTTTTTCTGGAGGAATTTGGTCAGCTCAGCCTTGAGCGGCCCCGACAACTTGCTCCCTATCCGTAGTTGCTTCTGACAAGTCTCTTCGTCAAGGAAGATGACTTCAACTTCGTCCATAGGTTCGGCCCTCTTCGTCCCTCGTTTCTCCTCATATTGGGTTCGGGGGTCAAGCTCGTCTTCTTCGATGGCCGGGTCCTTGCCGGCCCTTCTCCCTCTGTCCAGGTCAAGGTCGACCCCGAAGTCTTCTTCGGCCTGGCCGGCGTTATCGCCAACCGAGGGGAGCGGACCTGTCTGGTTTTCCAGCATGCGGTCGTCCCCCCGGTTGGGGTTATCTAGCCCGGCATCGGTCGGGTTGCCCACCTCCGTCTCGAGTCCCGTGTTGACGGGATCGACACTTAGCGTGGTCAAGGGGTGCGAACCTGTCTTGTTTCCCAGCATGCGGTTGCCCATAGGACTATCGTGTGCCAGCCCAGTGTCTGTCGCCTCGGTGTCGGCGCGAGGGTCTGCCGCATTTATCTCCGTGCGCGGGATGGTCAGGACGCACTCCCGCGCCTCTCTCTGGTCCCCGCGGTGAGTCCTCTCTCCGTCCGAGGTCGGGAACTTCAGGGAGTAGTGGAATATGGAGACAGCGGCTTTCAGCTTGTACAGGGCCGTCCTGCCCAGGATGGCGTTATACTCGCTTGGGCAGTCCACGATTTTGAAGGTTTCCAGAATCGTTTTCGTGGGCTGCCCCTTCTCTCCAAACTGGATCGGCAGCGTGACTTGGCCGACGGGGGCCGTTGTTTGCCCATTGAAGCCTTGGATCCGCTCGCGGCAGGGTTGTACCTCTTTCTTGTCGATCCCCATCTTTTTGAAGGTGTCATAGTAAAGAATGCTCGCGTAGGCCTCGGTGTCGACCATGATGCGATGGATCTTGATCGCCATGATCTGCGTCGTGATCACCAGGGCGTCGGAGTGGGGGTGGTCGAACAAGAAGGCGTCTTCATCGGTGAAGGAGATTTTGTTCGGAGTTGGCTCAGCCGCCGGCCTGCCGTTGGCGTGCATCACTCTCTGCCCGGTGTAATAAGCCTGCCAGGCATAGGCCTTGGTCCGCTGCCTAGAAAGGAAGGACTCACCTCGGCTCGTGTTGACGCGCCGAGGCGGATAGCCGGCGTGATCATCCTCCTGCGGTGGGGGTCGATCTCTTTTCACGCCCCTAGAGGTACCAGCCTCGTCTCGAGGGGTGGGGCTGAGAGTCAGGATCTCGTGGGGGCCACCCTGCTGCGGCTTCTTTCTTCGGGGGTTTACGTCGGCCTCATCCTCGCTGTCGAGGCCTTCTTCGAAACGGCCTCCCTTCTTTCTCATTTCGCCGAAGCGGGTAAACCTTTTTAACTGCGGGTCATCAATCAGTTGGAGCAGTGCCGAGATCAAATTCCGACAATGGTCGGTGTTATGCCCGTGTGCCTTGTGGTAGGTGCAGTAATGAGACTTGTCAACCTTGTCCCTGTCGGTGAACATTGGCTTTGGGTCCGGCAATAGTCCTTTCGCCTTAATTTTCTCATAAACCGCGGCTGCCCCTACCGAAAAGACGCTCTGATAGCTTTTCTTCAGCTCTTCGGCTTTCTGTCTTCGCTGAGCCCGGACTTCGGCGAACGACTTGCTCGGCTTCCCCGACTTTTCCTCCTTCGCCTTGCCCTTTGTCGGCGAGGCGTCGAACGTGGGGATCGGGACTCCTCCGCCATAATGTAGTCTTGGGCTCGGGAGAGAAATTCTTGATAAGTGGTTGGTTTTTTCTGGCACAAGGACCATTTGAACAGCGTCTTTGGCCTTAGGCCACCCTGGGCAGTGATCAGTAGCGCATCAGGGTGGCACCGCTCCATGTTCTGGACTCCGTCGTTAAACTGAGTGATGTAATCCTTCAAGCTCTCGTCCTCACCTTGGACGATGTTGGCAATGGACTCCTTAGGGGCGAGGTTGATCTGCGATCCGATGAAGTGCGACCGGAAAGCCGACCTGAGCTGCCCCCAAGTGGAAATGGAATGAGGGTAGAGAGAATGGTACCACCTCTGCGCTTTCGGTCCCAACGTCAGGGAGAACATGCGGCAGCGCAAGGCATCTGTGGCGCTTTGTAGGTCCATCCACGAGGTGTAGAGGCCGAGGTGGGAGTCTGGATCCGAGCTCCCATCATGAGGGTTAAGCTGTGGGAGCTTGATCTTCTTTGGTGCAGGCTCCCAGAGAATGTCAGGGGAAAGGGGCGAAGCGTGATCCACGATCTGGGGGGGTCAATCATGGGGAGGGAGGAAGTGACAGCTCACTCCTAGGTGGGTGTCGACCCTCTAGCTCGGCAATCTTGCGCTTGAGGGCCGCAACTTCGTCAGTGTCGCGTCCCATAGCCTTTCCCCGTTCGATGACCTCCCTGAGGTCGCGGTTCGCCTGACTCTTGTCGCCTAGGCGGTGGTAAACTGAACGGCAAACGATTTGAAGGTTCTGCTCCAGATGGCTCTCACCCGTCTGCTTGGTGGGCGTCGACCTGGTGCTTTTATCACGGCGGTTCCGGGCCTCGAGGTTGGGTGATTGGGCCGTGGTTTTGGATTTCGCCGGGTTCTTCTTTTGCCCCCCGGCCCCCTTTTCGGGGGTATGGAGCAGAGTGTTGTCGGGGTTCTCCGTGGGCGCCACGGTGTTTCCCCCTGCCGCCTGTCTCGCGAGCGCCTTCGCGAAGACCCCCTCGAGAGCTTTGAGGACGTCGGGATGCTGCATAGCCGCAACGAAGGTCGGGACAGGCGGGGCAGGGACTTGGGCGCCGGACTGCTTGGTGGACTCGTTGTGACCTGATGAAGCCATTTCGAGTGGTTTTTTGGAAGTGAAAGATGGAAAAAAGATGAATTCGATACGGGATTCCACAAGATCGAAAAATTGACACCAAGTAACTTATGGTGCCCTTCCTCTAGCACCAAACTGTTGACGGGCGTTTGCGGTCAACGGTTAAAAAAGTAAATAACTGGAGTGAAGTAAGGAAAATTTTGGTTGATATTTTATTATCAGATCACTGGGTCGGCCTCTAGTACGATGTCGGAACTTGTGATGTCTTTACAGATTCTTACACAGGTTTTAGTACAAATTTAGAGAGAGGGAGTTTGCTAATTGAGGATTCAACAACCCAGAAATAAATAAGGTGGGCTGTTATTTATAGTGGCCTTAAATGCGGCACTGTTCAGGTACTGTTCACCAGTCTTGTCATACAGTACTCTGGCAGGGCAGTTCGGCGTCTCCCTGACAGGCATTAAATGCGACTTGAGGTTTTCCTCATCATTGCCTGTCAGGTATTTAATGCATACATGGGGGTCATTTAATGCTGCCCAGCTTTATGTCTTGTCTAGTGGACGTAGACCTGCAGGCTTTGATACCCCGTCCAATCATCAATGATTACTCTCCAAGTGGCATTATTATACTATTATCGGGCCCCGCGTCGGCTTCTGGGGCATCTGCCCTGAGGCTTCAGGTCGGCTCTCAAACTCATTCCACTCTTCTGGCCCTCCGGGACCGTACTTCAGCCCGTCACCTGCTTTAGGTCGGCACCGGTGTCTGAACAGCACAAACGTCGGGCTCGTGGATGGACCCGCGGGGATGTCAGGGCTAATTGAATCTAGAATTCAGCTCGGCACTTGCACTCAACCGGGTCTTCGGTTCGGCTTTTGAGAGGTACCTGTTGTCCGGTTCCTTTTCGGGGTGAACTCGGATGTCAACAACATTCTATACCCAATGATCAACCGCTCAAAATAAACTCACAACAAACAAATTATCTACCAAAGTTCCAAAACCAAAAGTGCAAAATCTATAAAAGACAACTAATTGAACAAATTACATNAAAACAACAGGTACAATACAAAAATTATAGCATTAGGATTTAGGCGTTAGCTAAATGAAGTGCAGAAATTAGAATTAATCACAGTTATCACATATTGTGCGAAATGGCGCAGTAGATAATCTAACCATTTAAGGTTTGGAAAGACATTTTTTTTTTTTGTTTAGTACCTTCTAAATTGGAGTGCCGAGTGGTCAGTGGTGGTTGGCCCGGGTCGTCGTTGACGAGTTGACGGCGAAATTCGGCGGCCGATGAACGCAATCCGCAGAGGTAAATGGTAGGAAAGAAAAAAGAAGGAAGGCTACGCAACAATTGAGCGAGGAAGAAAAGTCCAAGGTGATAGGTGAAGTGCAACACTTACGCTGATATAATATTTGTTTGGGCAATTGGGACTTATTTTTTTATTGGCATTTGGGTATGAAACTAAAAATAAAAGAAGAAAATAAGATAATAGTTGAGAAAAGAAAAAACAGGCCTGATCTTCAGCCCAACCCAGGCCTGAAGTGAATTCATCCCTGAGAAAAAATGAGAAGGATGGAGAGTGAGGGAAAAAAGTCGTAGAGAACTATAATATACATTAGTTATGATCTGATGGGTTTCGAGCTTATACCTATGAATTTATATTTGGATAATGTTTATTAATCAAATATATGTTTCATTGGACCTTGTCACAAAACTCAAGTGAAAAAAATAGTCAGACAAAAAATGCACAAGACATCCTAATTCGTAGTTACATTTGATGTCTCGTAAAAGACTTTACTAAGTAAAACCCCACGAAAATCTAAACTTACCTTAGAGTAAACCACCTGCCAACGAGCTCAATCTTCAAAAATAGAATTGGTCTCAATTTCAGATTTTCTCGCACCTTCCCTTTCTTACAAATGCAGAAAAGATGAATTTTTATTTTCATTAAACACGAAACCACTTCAATATTTTCCTTTTTCTTTTTCTTTTTCTTCTAAACAAATTCAATCCCCTTGCTTCTAAATCATTCGTAGACGTGTGCTGCGACTGCACAATCTCTGTTTCTTGTTATGCGAATCAACTACCCACACTGCGTTACACAATCATGTAATCAAGGCAGTGACATTTCTGCATTACCAAGATGTGCACTTAAAAGTTAAACCACAAGGCACCAGTAAAACAAAAAAATATGACTCATAAATACTCCCTTTACAAACAACAAAAGGTGAAAAGCAAAGTCATAAGCCTAACCTATATTAATTTAATGGTTGTAGACAACCTGAAACTGACGACATCAAAAGTCAACACAAGTAGTTACTTTTTTGTTACACTTGCAAAATAATGCAAATGACTGGTCTCTCATGAGAGGAGGGATACAAGTGAGACGAACTCCAGCGTGACTCGTCCCTTGGATCTTGTGTTGATCACAAAGTGTTCCGGATATTTCCTCAGCAGCATTAGCAGCCCAAACCACGGCTTTCCGTGGGCTTCTGGGCTACAATAATCCTCCGATGTCAGATATTTCCTCACTCGACTGTGGTGCCAAATGCTGCCGAATTGTTCCTCCAACTGCATAATTTACAAACCACTTTAATTAAAACTGTAAAACAAAATGGAGGCTATTCATTACCCATTCACATACACACCACACACACACACGCACGCGCGAAAGAAGATAAAAGTAAAGGAAAAAGGGGCAAAGAAAAAAGAAAGAACGCACAGTGGTAGTAAAAATGAGAAAAGGTAAATATGTTTACACCATCGCTCACAAGTATGTAATTACAAAAGCCAAAATAACATTAACATTAATGACAGATATTACAAATACTAATGGCTATATCTCATCTCTAAATTTATAATGTGGCTTAAGATATCCATCGCTAATTTGCACTGTCACATAGGTAACCATCCATCGCTAATTTCATCCCTTGCTAATTTCTGTTTTCTTTTAGTTTTTATTTACTTATTATTTTATTATCTTTTCGGGTGGAATGTTCATGTCATATATAGCTACTTCCCAAGAGCGCACACATCCCACAAAGGCACAAACCCAACCATATGTAAGTCGACTTCGATTGCGTCCATTGATGAGGTGTTTTGGATTAACAAACAACAAGAAGAAAAGAGCCTTTGAATTGGCCTTCAACTCCAAGTTTGCACAAATCCTTGTTTTATTTCCAATCAATGAACTACTATTTACATTAAAAGGGAAAATATGCTCATATTGAACGCAATGTAGCTTTGCACAAAATTTTAGCATGTCGTTTCCAGTTTATTTTTATTTTTTTTTTCATAAAATAAGTGATCAACTAGTAAATAAACCAACAAAAAAATGGCATACTGCCTAATTTGCTTCAGTTTGCAGTTAGATTAGCTAACGTGTTATAGTTGGTTTGGCTCACTTTTTATTTGGGTCGTAAACAAATCGAATCGAAGCGAATATTCAACTATTTGATTCGGATATGAGAAAATATCAACTAATTGCATTCGTATTCTATTCGTAATCGAATTTAATTTGTGATTCGTATTCGATTCGTTTAAAATAAACGAGTATACTCGATTCAATTCAGAATTTGCTTTCAGAATTATTTATAAATAAAAAATATATTTTTATATTTTTATATAAATATATTAAAAATTATATTGTACCAACTATTTTTATTTTTAACATAATTTTGAATATATTTATATATTTATTAAATAACAATATACACAAAAATATTTTTATATTTAATATACTTATATATATTGTAAGAGAAAATCTATATTACGTATAATATATTCGATTATTTCGAATCAAATATGTCCATATTGAATTTGAATAAATTTCAAATATTAAATACTATTATGAATTTCAATTCGAATTTTCACGTATACCGAATTCGAATCATGAATCGAATTAAGAAATTCAATTCTTTTACAACCCTACTGTTCGTCACATGTTTGTTCAGTTTGGATAAAAATGATGTGACCAGCGATAGGTAGAATAGGACACCACCCCCACTCCTATTACAAATACAATACTCCCTCCGTTTTTTATTAATTGTCGTTTGGGTATACATTTCTTTTTGCTTATTAAATGTCATTTTGGATAACTATGAACTAATATTATCTCAAATCCTAAAAGTATGTAGATTAGTTCATGTTTTATTCTTTTGTTACGTAACTTTAGTTCATACTCTCCTACTTCATTCCAACAACATGAGAAAAGAGTACAATTTTTTTATTTATTTTTCTTCCTGCAGCAAAATCCTAATAAAATTTAGGAGATTTAAGAGATGTAGAATGGTAAAATAACTAATTCCTTAAACTACGTAATTTTGTTCTTCTAATCTAGAACGACAATTATTTTAAAAACAGAGGGAGTATATATTACCTAAACTCCACCTGAGGTAGAAAAACAAACCTCAGTCAAGTTTTTAAAATTAGAAAATCACCATCAAGGTATAATTCTATTTTGTATTGTCTCCACAAATGTCAGTTGACACCATAAATAACAAATAATTTATGACTGCACCTTCCAAATATTACAAATGCTCCAACTTCTCTTTGATGTATTTTGAAAAATTGAAAAATGAAATAGTAAGCCAAAAAGTTGAGGCTATTTGTAATGTTGGAAAAGTTTGACAGATACAAAGGTAAAAGATATTGGCCTTGTTTGGTAATCAGTTTTTAGCTGTTAGCTGTTAGCAGATTGCGTTAGCTGTTTTGACCAGCGGGTTGCGTTAGCTGTTTTGACCAACTGATCGTGTTAGCAGTTTGTAAAAAAGTGTGTGATAAAATTAGATATTTTAATTAGCTGTTAACATGTAAAATTATTTATACGGACATCAACATACTTTATTTCATGTTGAACTTATAATTATTTAGGATATGATAATAATTAATATTTAAAATATTTATTAAAGTGATTTGAATATGATAAAAATATAAATAATAATAAAATAAAAATATTTCATAATCGAGTAAATAAATTTACGTCATATAAACAAAGTCAACACCAAGTCATCACTAATTAAAGATATAAATGTAAGTCAAATGCAATATATACTATTATAATTAAAAAAAAAAAATAAAAGAAAAGAATTAAAAAAAAAAACAAATGGATGAACCAAAACTTTTAATGGGGCGTAGAGAAAAATAGGGGCAACCAAGGCATTTAATTTTTATACAATGAAAAGTTGAACCATAACACTGCTAAAAGCAGCGTTTTTTAATTTGGCGGATGGATCCCAAAAAGCCATTTGCAACAGCTATTTACCAAACACATTTTTTTAACTGATTAAAAAAAACAATTAAATGGATGAAAAAGCTCTTTTGAGAGCAAAAAGCTGAAAAACAAACGGGGCCATTAATGACCTCAACACTTTCCTTCAGCTGCGCAATCAGTAAGCATATGGAAACTTCAAGAGTAACATTCTAAGATTTTTAATGTCAGCTGGGGTAATTTGTAACTAGCCAAATCCCAAAGTACCTTTTAATATTTATCTTAGGAACATTTTCTATTTCTGGGTATGAGCTAGAAAAATTCGTAATTCCTTCAGAGGGATCAATAATTATGTGTTCATGCATCTTCTAGTCCATTCTACTCTCAGCACTGTAACAACTATGAAATGCTGCAACCTACTCAATCCGCATCTTTACTTTCCGTAGCGAAACTTTTTCACAATCTGCCTTGCCATTGTCGAATTTCCAATTCATTCTTAACCACTTATATAGAAGCATTAGAGTCTAGCTGTGATCACCATAGTCAGAAAGTTGCCATCTGAATATGGGAACAATTAAACTTTATTCATGAATAGTAGAGGTTATATATAGTAGGGTTGTTATCGGAGAAAATCATGACTTTACCTATGGCTTTGATGAAAAGCTTCCCAACTATTGCTCAGTTCACCAGAGCAAGATAATCTAACTTATTTTCTTCTAACAGAAAACTAAATAATTGTAAGCCAGATCAAACAACAATGAACCAGATCAAACACCAAATAGCAATCATCAAGCAAACAAAGCACAGGTCAAATAGTCAATAATGTCAACAAACACAACATCACACCTAAGAGCCCCAAAATTGGCTCCCCCAAGATGACGTCTAACCATGGCCTCTGGCCCAGGCGAGACTTTATTAAATGTGAATAGAGACATTAGATAAACCACCAGATCATGATGCAAACATCCACTTACTATAATAGAAAAGAAGAAAGCAAAATTCCGGCATTAAACCATGAAAACGGTTAATTGCCGGAAATCAGATTATAGAGAAGGATTGACCTCAGTATGAAGTTTCTCCATCGGCATCCATTCTCCAGGGCCGCACAGATCAGATAACACATTGGCAACAGACGACACAACATCCTTTTCTTCTAACAGTAGAAGCTGTTGGTTATCAGTTTCTCTGTCAGCTCGTGACCTTCCATCAGCCTTCTTATCTGCATGATATCCAGATTAAATCGTAACTGTCGGTATCTTGAACAACCATTAACTATGCATCTGAACGTAGATAGTTTTTATCTAATTTAAAGAAGCTATATGGAACTCCATACTTCATGAATAGACTAAAACCCATTTCAAAAATAACATAGGAATTCTTAACCAAGAACGCCAGTATAATTCAGGAGCTAATCAATGCACTGAAATTAGCAGAACAAAATGGAGCAGAAATAATATTATTATTTGCATAAAACCATTTAAAACGAATCAGGAGTCGTGTTGAGGAGCTCCAGAGCTGCCAAAGCAAAAGCAACACATTATATGTTGAAGATGCATTTCTAGCCAAGATCATATTGGTTTGCACACTAATTTAGAAAAACAGATTGGACGAGCGAAGATGAAGTAAACCGAAAATAGACAATTCCATTCGGGCCAAAAATTCAAAACAACTGGAGCATCACAAGAAATCCCTGGAAACCCACCTTTCCCCCTTGAACCATAACTAGCATAGCCATCAACACCTTCAATCCTCCTCATCCTCCTCCCTTCCGACGACCCTTCCTCCCCAGCACCACCACCTTCCCCCACATCATTATAATCACTCCACCCTTTCCCCTTTTTCCCATAACCTGAACTGCCGCTGCCTGGGGGAGGTGGCAGGCCAGGACGTTGTGGCTGCTGATTTTGATACTGAATGCCGGAATTGTTCAGGTGATGCCTTGGCCCAATCGGTCCGCCCAAAATGCTCCTCACTGGCAGGAGAAAGTAAAACTCCTTGTCCCCGATTTGCAAGAGATCCTGAGAATCTAGCTTGACAGGGGGGTTGCCGGGGAGGTGGAGGACGCCCTCCACGAGGCAGCCATTCTTGCCGAGAACCTCGAGCGCGAAGCGGCGGCGCTGGAAGTCATAGAAGATCCGGGCATGGTGGCGGCTGATGTTCATCCCGCCGCCGAGAGAGGACAGGTCGACGTCGACGGTCGATTTCTTGGAGTTGCGGCCGAGGATGATGGAGTATGTCTGCATGTAGTACTCGAAATCCTCGCCTTGTAGCTTCGCGAAGCCCGCCTCCACATCGCTGCTCCCCATTCACCGGTCCAATTAGGGTTTTCTGATTTTCAGAATATCGACTTTGGGGTTGCAGGCTATGTAGGTACGTAGGTAGGTAGGTATAAATGTTGGAGTTAAGCGGTGAGTCGGATTTTTGAGATAGAGGCAGCCGAATCCATGGCCATTTTCCTGTTTTGCTCAAATGATTTTTTTTTTTTTTTCTTAGAGCATCTTTATCAACAAAATCCCATAAATCTCTTTAACATTTCCCACACATCATTCAGAACCTATTTCTTATTCCTATACTCATAAATCTCAAATAACAATAAACTCTATGAACCTCCTTGTATCACATGTTTCTCATTTAATTTTAACCCCATTGTATTATATGAAATTTGCACATTTTTCTCCAGTAATTTAAAAATTACGTAAAACCCTCTTGTATTGTACTTTGGCCTGCGCGAATTACCCACAGACGTTTAAGTTAACAGAAGTGCTCGTCATGCGCCAGCTGTGCTCTCTCTTCCTATTTCACTGCAGCAGCAGGTCAAAAGAACATTTTACCCCTCACTAACCCTTTAAATAGGTAGCAACCCTTGCAGCCTTTTTCTCCACCCCTTTTCTCCATTTTGGGGCACTTCTTCACAGCAGCTCCATTTTTTGCGCCAACAGGTAATTTTTTTTTTTTATATATACTTTTTAACAGCAACATGTTCACAGTTGTGTTTCAGCAACAGGTACGATTTTTTTTTTTCTCAACAACATATTTTGCATTTTTCTTTCAGCCTCATGTGAACCAACATGTAAGCAATTTTTTTATATCATTTTAATTTATTTATTTTTTTAAATGAATGTAGGTTAAAAATGTCTTCCCAAAAATCAAGGACGGCGAAGAATGAGAGTTTGGTATAGACACCCTAAAATGCTATTGCAACACGTTTGCTCAAATTAGTGTTGTGGGTCCTACAAAAGAAACTGTCGGCAAGCTATTTTGCAATTGTCCATACAACAAGTGTCGTTTTTTTGTCTGGCTTAAACCTACCTCGGTGAATTGGGTGAAGTCAAATAAAATGCATGAAGATGAAACTTGTTATGAAGATGATGATGAAGTTGAATCAACGGGAGCAAATATAACAAACCAAAATGCAGAAATTGCAACAATGGTGAAAGAGATGCAATAAAGGATGGAGAAAATGGAGAAAAAGTTTAGCAATTGATTGTTTGTTTTGATTGTTGTAATCCTTTTGGCTACTATTGTTCTGAAGTAATTGTGCAATGTAATTGGTTATGACAATGTATGTCTTTATTGTCAATGAAATGTATTCAATCATTCCTAAATGGTTGTTTACTCCATGAACCACAATAACAACACTGTCATAACTAACCAACAATATACAAAAGACTGTCATAACCAACAAATGAACTACCAACAATATACAAAAGACTAGAGGAACATTTTAAAAATCAAAACCACCATGTCATAACCACTTCAAAAACCACAAACTTCATTCACAACCACAACCACTGTCATCATCATAAAACAACCATGTCTACAGAACAATAATAACAACCAAAATACTTCAGTCACAACCACCATCATAACCACTTCAAAAACCAAAATACTTCAGTCACAACCACCATCATAACCACTTCAAAAACCAAAAACTTCATTCACAACCACAATCACTGTCATGCCACCAACATGAAAAACAATACAATCATATCACAACCAAAGACACAGAATCATGCCACCAACATATCCAATAGAATACTTGTTCATGAACAACACACCTTGGGATGGAGGTTTGAGCGCCAATGAATGAGCCTATGATGTGCTTTGCTAAGTGGAGGTCTGAGAGGCATTGAAGTTGACAGAATCCTCAAAAGAATGCTGACTTGGTTGTTGCTGCCAAGATCACTTTGCCTACCTAACTTTGATTTTTTGCTACACTTTGCCATTTTCGGTCACCGCCGGCCTCATAAACCAATACGTGGCTCTTGTGCCTTATTGACACGTGTGGCCGGCGGTGACAAAAAATGGCAAAGTGTACAAAAAATCAAAGTTAGGTAGGCAAAGTGTACAAAAAAAAAATTGTAGGTAAAGTGTAAAATTCAAGATAGTTAGGTAGGCAAAATGTAATTTTCCCTAACAAAAAATCTAAAAACTTCAAGTTGATTAAACAAAAACTGAAAGTTCACCTTCTCAGGATTATTTGTACCAGCTCTTTTGTTGCACCTCCTCTTATTATGATTATTTTCTCCACACACAGTGCATCTCTTGATAAAACCCTTTATGCTGCTTTTTGTTGCCACAGACCTCATGTCATTAGCATCAGCTCTTCTTTTCTTTGTTAGCCTACCCCTCTTTTTCACAGCATCAGGAGACTGAATTAGGCCCATTCCAGATTCTTCATATTCATTCATCCCTGGAACTGGGAGGATCATATGGCTATACATCCTCAAATACATGTCCTTCTTGAAGAATTCAAACACATAATCAGCAAGAGGGAACCTATGATAAGAGATGCATGCCAGTGCATGGCAACAGGGCTACCCAACCAATTGGAATATGCCACATGTACAACTTTTTGCTCTCAGTTGGAATATATGGTTGTTTACTCCATGACCCACTTCATACTTGTCTTCTCCAGCCCAAGTAGGGAAACAATTCCTGTTGAACTCCCTTTGCTCTTCAATTTCCTTACTGTGTTTGGACAAATATCCTCCGAGTATTTTTTTATTCTTTCTCTCTTCACCTTGATCCTTGCCATTAGCCTTCTTCTGATCCACTCAAACATGTCTACAGTAGGCATGTCCCTGGCTTCCAGAATATAATTGTTAAAGGACTCAGACATATTATTCACAATGACATCACAAACAACATTAGAAGAGAAGTAGCACCTTGCTCAATGTTCTTCAAGGACACCCTTCAACCATTCAAATGGAGTCACCTTGCCATCCTTCTTGGGGACAAGCCTTTGGATTTGGCTCATGCACCTCAGATGCTCCTTCACATTATATGTGCTAGCATCCTTCCAAAACCATTTTCTTAAATCTAGATCCTCCCACTTCTGTTTGAAATTGTGGTACATATGCTTCAAACAATAATTGTGTTCTACCCCCTCAATTTCACTCACAGCTTCAAGCAAACCCTTTTGTCTATCTGAAACAAAAGTCCATTTTCTCTCCCCGTATGGATCTACATCTTTCAATAGCCTTTCAAAGAACCACCTCCAAGAATCTGTCTTCTCAACTTCAACATATGCCATTGCTATTAGTAGCATATTGTCATTGCCATCCCTACCAACTGTTGAAAGTAGTTGACCACCATGAACAGTCTTAAGAAAACACCCATCCAGCCCTATAATTGGCTTACAACCAGTAAAAAATGCCTGTCTCATTGCAGTTAAGCAAACATACATCCTCATGAACTTTGAAGGTGAAAAGTCACTTTTCACCTTCAATATTAGAGAACTACCAGGATTGTACTTGAATGACTGTAGAACAGTAGTCATATAGCCTCTTATACTGTTCCCCATAGTCAACCTTCAACAGAGAAAGGGCATACACCTTGGCACTGTATGCCTTGTGCAGACTGACATCAACACCACAATGCCTCTTGATATTCTATTTCAGACTTGCCAAACTCTCGCCAGGATTGTCCCTCAGAGTATCTACCATCTTTTTCCCAAGATATTTGTAGTCTGCCTGTGTGTTTTCTGTCCTATAAGAACATGTGTGTTTTCCTTTCAAAGTCTTGATCTGAAATGTGGACAAACCTCCAATAATTGAGGCCCTCAAAGACCAGCCATACCCACTTTTGCATTGAGCTGTGATGAGCTTGGCTTCATTCTTGGGAAACCTCAAATCATATCATTTTCTCACAGACCAATCTCTAATCACATCCTTGTACTTTGCTCTGCTTGGAAATTTCTGAGCAACTTTCAGCTCAAACCTTGACATATCAGCACTATCATTCCATTCATCAGGCTCTTCAAAGCACTTGTCATCATCCTCAGCCTCACTGTACCAATCTTCTTCTCCTCCGACCCTTTTCAAACCTTCAGCTTCTTCTCTTGCTTCTTTTTTTTTTCTGCTTTCTTCTTTGTTTCATCTATTCTCTTGCCCTCTTGTGTATCTTCTTAGCATGATCATGACCCCTATGTTGGAATATGTCATCATCATCAAGGACTTCTAGATCCTCCAATTCCCATTTAGCTAGTCAGAGGACTCACCACTACCTTCTTCAGGTTCATACTCTGAATCCTCTGAATCATCTGAATCTCCAAAATGATGTTTTGCCCCCTCAGCTTCTTGTTCTGCCCTCTCATGAAGTTGTTCATCCTCTTGGCCAACTGTCTGAGATCTTTCTTCACCATGCTGTGCTTCAGCTTCATTAAGTGGCTCATCTCTCTGAACACCATCATGTGAACCAGCATCATGTCTCTCTTCTGTAGGATCCATCTCATGTGAACCAGCATCATGTCTCTCTTCTGTAGGATCCACCTCATGTAAACCACCATCATTAGCATCTTCTGTGGGATCCACCTCATGTGAACCAACAACATTAGCATCTTCTGTAGTATCCACCTCATGTGAATCAACAACATTAGCTTCTTATGTAGTATCCACGTCATGTGAACCAACATCATTACCATCTTCTGTAGGATCCTCATGTTGTGCTTTTTCAACTGATTGCAAATCATCCTCATGTTGTGCTTCTTTATCACTCTGTTGTGGTGATGTTTGTTGGTCACAATACATGTCAATTAGAATATCCCCTTCAGTATGTGGATATTCAAGAAGTGGGATCTCTTCTTGTGCATCCATAAGATTCCCATCAAGGTCCAATTGTTGTAGAGGGCCTTGCAAATCTTCAAAATAAAGTGGGATGACATATTGCCCTGTATACTTCTTCACCAACTTCAAAATAACACTGACAATCTTCATGATCTTCTTTGTTGTTGTAGAGTTTTTCCAGGCTTGTGTGAAAAAATTTCCACAGTGGAGGATTTGCCACCTGCCTGTCTGTACACATCCATTATCTCATACATAGACAACCTGTCCATGTCATAGTAGTCAACTGCAACTCTTAGACCACCAAAGTAGTGCACAAAGGGCTCCCATTTTATCACTCCACCAACTCTAACATCAAATACAATAGCTATATTCTGCAAATCAACAAATATGAAATCAGGGACCATAGCATAAAAAGAATACTTTATGCATCAACACTTCCTATGCAAGAGGTACCACATCATACTCTATAAATAAACAAAGAACAAAGACCATATCACAGAAGGACCCAAAAACTTCTTACAAACAGCATCAATAATTTTCAGATTAAACAATTTCACAATAACCACAAATTCAACATACATATAGGATAAATTAAAAAAACCCTGCAAACAGCTTCAATATTTTCTACTGATAGTATAAAATTAAACAATTCAACCAACAAACAACATCAATACTTTCAAAATCGAAAAGCTCTAATTTCAAAATCAGAAAGACCTAATTTCAACATCAATACTTTAAAAATAAAAAATTAAACATCGACCTACAAATAGTATAAAATAAATCACCCTAATTCCCAAATAAGAAAGCCCTAGTTTCAAAATCAGAAAGCCCTAATATCAACATCAATACTTTCCAAATCAAAAATTAAAGATTGACCTACAGATAGTATAAAATAAATCACCCTAATTCCCAAACCAAAAAACCCTAATTTCAAAATCAAAAGCATAAACCTTAATTACAAGCCCTAATTTCCGATAAAGAAGCTATCGACTTTCTCTACTTTCAAAATAAAAATATCGACACTCACTAATTCCCAAATTAAAAAACCCTAATTTTCAAATCAAAAATCCCTAATTTTCAAATTAGAAAACCCTAATTTTCAAATCGAAAAACCCTAATTTCCAAATCAGAAGCACGAAAGTTGACCAAATCAGAAGATATCGAATTTTTCTAATTTTCATATGAAGCAATCGACTTCCCTAATTTTCAATCACAAGCACGACACTTGACCAAAAACCCTATTTTCGAAACCACATATCATGAGAACCCTAATTTTAGGAATACAACTATTGGATTTCAAGGTAATAACTGTAACGCCCCACTTTGATTAACCGAAAATCCGTGGCTTTTCAGAAAAATCAATTTAATTTTTGAAACTCATTTCAAAACATTTATGGCGTTACTCATTTAAAATCAACATCAATAGTCATATCAATCATATGAATCATAAAATCAACTCCCAAATCGGGTTTCATAAAATCATCACAGAGTCTAAGGGGCATCTCCGCAACATTATTTTCAATCATCATAAAATCTCAAGGTTCATAAAATCCCAAGTTCATGAAATTATAATATCCCAAGTCGTGAAATCATAAATCATAAAATAGTTCAAATAGCAGAAGCATAACAATCAATGATCTGGTCATACAAACCGACCACCACTCGCTCCACTCCGTCGTGCCTGCAACCTGCTTAACATGCGCCTGTGAAGAAAAAGTGGGGGTGAGCACATATGGAATCCATGGTGCTCACCACTATGCAATAAACAACAATAATAAGACAGTTATGGTCGCAGCACATATACGAATAAATTATCTATCCCATCTCCTATACATCATAGAATCAAGTCTCATGTGCACACCTACGCATAGACTACTGCTGATACACGTATTGAATGCCCCTCGGGACTTACAACGATGCCCAAACAGTAGGAGTTTCTCCCGTCGGCCGAGCACCGCCCTCGATTTACAACGGGGTACTTATCGTCGACTGAGCACAACCCTGGTCTCATACCTCCGACCTAGCATAACCCTGGTCTTACAGGCGTAAAGAGGAGATTACCCCAACAGAGTCCGTTCTATAGCTACGTGGATAACCGTTCCATGGCCGGTACAACTCATATTGAAGGCTACATGGTTCACATGCATACATTGATCATACCACAAGCAGACATAAACAAAATTTACGGCATAGCATTTTAAATAAAACCCACCTGATCGACGACACAAGAAAAAGTATATACAAAGCTCGGTAGATAGATGAGACTGACTCCTCAAGAACCTACAATTATATCAAGATAATATTCAAAATACTTGTCTCGATATTTCAGTATAATATTCTTTTCTGCCACACTACTCATGTATCTACCTCACACGACTCGCTTTGCAAAAATAATAACACGCAGCGATTTTTATAATGGATGAAACTCTTAGCACAAAAGTCATATGATCATGATTCAAGTTGAAAAATGATCCTAAGTCATGCTCCTACAACTTTCGTGCAGACAACTACAACAACCAATGTCATTTGATCACATATTTTTCAGCAAACATTCAAATCATGGCCGCAGTCCAAAACAGAAAAATCTAACTTACAGGGACTCAGTAATTCGAGGATATTATAAGCTACATGCATGATTTCCATTTGATTCAAAAACCAGAGGAAAGATAACATCATAATCTACAACTTCGCCGAAGACCACTTTAGAAAATAATGACATTAGCACCGAGTTTAAACATAAATCATTCAATACATATAATCTGCCAGAAAATAAATGGTTCACATATAGCAATTCAGTAATTCACATATAACTCAAGCTATAGACCTCATAATCATGCGATTCCAAAACCTATAACAAGTTGTCACTCAAGATTACAACTTTCATGTTGAACACTTTCACTTTCAAATGACTTTATTCTTTCACATATAGGTTCAGCACTTACATAGGAAATAGTCATAATAAGCTCACTTTACCAGGTAGTACATAGTATGACCAAAATTTGCATAGAATCAACACATAAACATCATGCATATGAGTTGGGAACAACTTTAACTTCTATCATGGATATATCCTCATATAAACTGAAACTTAGCCACACGTTAACATACATAATAACACCTTAACTCCACTACATAATGTGATAAATGGGTTTAGCATACTAACCTCTTCAAGTCTTCAAGAAAAACGAGATGAAACTAGGTTGAAGTTGTTCTCGGTTTTGCTTCTTTTTGCTCTCGGCTTTGCTTCTTTCTTCTAAGTGTTTGGAGCAATGGCGGATCTATATTCATTTGTCGGGGAATTATTTTTGTTGTTAATTATATGGTGCCTTCATAATGTAATCATCCTGGACCTACCATTGGTTTGGACAGGACTTTGGGGTGATGATGCAAAAAATTTCTAAGGGTTAAATGAGGCTTATTCAGTTGAGGAGTTGACTTAAGTAGAGGCATCACATGGCATAACTCTTAGGTACATGAAAGGGGACAAAATTGAGGAGTCTTAGGTGCATGTGGGAGAGCATCTCTTGGGAGCATATGGGAGTTGAGTTGAACGAGTTTTAAGGGCTGGTAGGGCTGAAGATGCTCTGGTTTTTTGTCATCAAGGAACATGGGGGACAAGGAGATGCTCTAGTTTTTTGTCATCAAGGAACATGGGGGACAAGGATCTTACACATCTAATGTAAAAACAAGACTAGCACATGCTAAACTAGCTAGGAATAAACTAATGCTACTAGAGTCTTGACTATTGCTAATGTTTCCAAGACTTACTTAGGCTTAGAAAAATACTTAATAAGCTCTTAATCACATGCATGAATCGTGGCTAAGACAATGAATAGGCTAGGGTTTGAAAATGAATTAAAACGGATAAAAATTCGGCTTACGCGATTAAACCGAAAATTCAAATGACGATCGATAAAATGAAATCGAACGAGCTATATAATTATATTATCAACATTATAATATAATATATAAGCACATAATCAAGGCATCTAAATAATAAAATGCCATTTATTAAAATAATTCAAAAAAATTCAATATCCGAACGGGGCGCTACAGTCTATCCTCCTTAAAAATATTTCCGTCCTTGGAAATGCTAAACTAAAGTACAAATCCAAACTCGAAATATGAGTCAAAATTGAAGTATATAGCCCAGAATTCTACTTCGCTTTCCCTAATGGCCTCGGCCTTGGGAAAAAACTACTTCTCAATTCATTAACTGATTACTCTCCGGAGCTCCGGCGACAAATCCAAAACGATAGACTAGTATATTGACTTGACTAAAGTCGAAAACGCATGAGATCTATGTCGTAATTACTGTTCTAATGTGATCTACCTTGTCAGATTGATTGGTGCTGCCCGATTATATCACAAATTCACCGCTCGAGAATAAATATATCTTACCGTCAATTATGCAAATCGTCAATGATAATATCAGTAACCATCACAATAATTCATTGTGATATCATTATTACCTACATCTCACATCTTCTTTCAGCTGCCATTAATGCACTTTAGGTGTGGGTTCTGACACTTGATATTTATTTAATACCCGATCTTATCGCATGCGTGTCAGGCACCAAACTTGAGACGTATTTGATACGCATCATTTTGCTATAAACTGACTGCAAAATCAACGATCTTCCTCAACAATGGTGCAAAATTACAAATGGATTTAGCACTGATAAGAATCCGCAAATTTTATTCCTTTTTTCCAATTAATATCATAAAAAGAATTTGTCGAGCTCGAGTAGAAAGATTGAGAATGCTAATGCTCAATAATATCCCAAATGATATCTGATGGCTGATTGAAGCAAAAGTTTGATTATCTGGCGAGTTTCCAAATGCATACAGATATATGACAGGTATGGGTAGAAGTACTTTTTCCAAGAAACGAAGGGCTTAAAGAAAAGGCGACTGTTATAAATGTGCTCGTTGGAATTGTGACACACGATGTACGTCTTTAGGATTTGTGTCCAATAATCAAGAAGATAAAATAGTTTTCATAAAGGATGATTTGAGTAAGGAATCTCTGGACAAACAATTCAGCAGATTCTTGAGACACATCCTAGTGGTTATGTGCATCGAGAGCTGATGTCTTTATGGATTCGGTTCAAACATGGCTACTAGAGGTTCTGACATTAAATATCTCTTGGTTATGTGCATCTCACATTAAATAATTCATTGTGATATCATTTTTACCAATATCTCACATCTTCTTTCGGCTGCCATTAATGCACTTTAGGTGTGAGTTCTGACATTTGATATTTATTTAATACCCGATCTTATCGCATGCGTGTTAGACACAAAACTTGAGACGTACTTCATACGCATCATTTTGCTATAAACTGATTGCAAAATCAATGATCTTCCTCAGTAATGTTCTAAAATTACAAATGGATTTAGCACTGATAAGAATCCGCAAAGTTTATTCCTTCCTTCCAAATAATATCATAAAAAAAAATTATCAAGCTCGAGTAGAAAGATTGAGAATGCTAATGCTCAATAATATCCCAAATGATATCCGATGGCTGATTGAAGCAAAAGTTCGATTATCTGGCGAGTTTCCAAATGCATACAGATATATGACAGGTATGGGTAGAAGTACTTTTTCCAAGAAACAAAGGGCTAAAAGAATAGACAGCTGTTATAAATGTGCTCGTTGGAATTGTGACACACGATGTACGTCTTTAGGATTTGTGTCCAATAATCGAGAAGATAAAATAGCTTTCATAAAGGATGGTTTGAGTAAGGAATCTCTGGATCAAACAATTCACAGATTCTTGAGACACATCCAAATGGTTATGTGCATCGAGAGTTGATGTCTTTATGGACTCAGAAGAAGAACGCTATAGTCTTGAAAATATTGTATCCAGAGATCAGGTCTTTAAACACTGTTGTCGTTTGTACAATTTAATAAGATGTACTGTACAGAAAACCTTATCACTACTGACAAATAAGATTCATTTATTATTCAACGACTTAATTGTCGGCAACTTTTCCTTTTAAAAAGGCGAGTCTCACTTCATAGCCAAGTGTCTCAAAATAAATGGCTACTTCAGAGTCTTCTTAGGGTAGCAAACTTCTCCAACCGATCAAAATTGTATACTCAACATATTAAGTTGAAACTTGGTCAAATTTTTCATCACTCATTTGGGAAGTTTACATAAAAGTTTCAAGTTAAAATCTCAAACATGGACTGTGTACTTTTGCATATAAAATCATCTTGACATACAAGAGAACTAAGCATTATAACTCATTCATTGCTCCACCTCAAATCATGAAATTTGACAGGCATGCTCTCAACACATATGTTGACATGTCATAAAAATTTCATAATTTTATCATGCATATTTCTTGACTTATTCAAGTTTAACATCGCTACTTGAAACAGGCACATAAAATTCAGCTTGCATGATAAACTTTAAAAATCTATATCTCGAGTTATACTAGGGAAAATGACTTTATTCTTTCACATATAGGTTCAACACTTACATAGAAAATATTCATAATAAGCTCACTTTACCACGTTATACATAGTATGCTCAAATTTGCGTAGAATCAACACATAAACATCATGCCTGGGAGCTGGGAACAACTTTAACTTCTATAATGGTTATAAACTCATATAAACTGAAACTTAGCCACGCTTTAACATACATAATAACACCTTAACTCCACTACATAATGTGCTAAATGGGTTTAGCATACTAACCTCTTCAAGTCTTCAAGAAAAACGAGATGAAACTAGGTTGAAGTTGTTCTCGGTTTTGCTTCTTTTCTTCTAAGTGTTTGGAGAGGACTTTGGGGTGATGATGCACGAAATTTCTAAGGGTTAAATGAGGCTTACTCAGCTGAGGAGTTGACTTAAGTAGAGGCATCACATGGCATAACTCTTAGGTACATGAAAGGGGACAAAATTGAGGAGTCTTAGGTGCATGTGGGAGAGCATCTCTTGGGAGTATATGGGAGTTGAGTTGAACGAGTTTTAAGGGCTGGTAGGGCTGAAGATGCTCTGGTTTTTTGTCATCAAGGTTCTGGAACACGCCGACGAGGCGGTCCGTCCCACGGATCGATATCGAATACCAAACATGTACATACATGATTTCGAATAACCCTAGGCATGCTCCTAAAGAACGAACAGAGAATTTACCTTTCTTTGAGGCTTTGATTCGATCTGAGTGATCTTCTAGTCTGTGTCCCAACCACGTTTGGACGCCGGATGGACGACGATCTACCAAACGGTTGAAAAGAGCGGATTGCGTCTCGTCTTCTCTGAACCCTTCACGTCCACGATGGTGGCTGAAGAATGTCACGTTTTGTGATAATGTGTAGGGTTAAAGACGTGCAATCCCTCCTTTTATAGAGGTCCTTGGGCCAAACTAGGGATCTGTTAGAAGGTATAGGGTTTGGGCTTCCTACGGGCCCAAATTCTTATGTTCAGCCCAGAACACAATTTGTCCCGTAAATATTAATTCATTCCACTGGAGAATTAACAATGCACTCCCGTCCTATCCCGAAATGAATCAGGGCTTCTATTAGACTCGATATAATTCCCCGTGTTTAAGATATCACACGTCCATTAATTATTCAAGCTTCTGACTGCTCTAGTTAATTAATATATTTTATTTCTTAAGTAGTACCACTCAACCTTATTATCGTACGGATTAAATCCACCTGCAGGGTTTGATACGATAATCCTTATGAGTTCCTTAAGGGGACGTCATCAACCTGGATGTCCAGGACACAGTTCCCTAATGCCAATAAATAGATATCATGCAGATAATGTTGTCACCCAAGATACGGAGCATATTGAACCAATGCTTGGTTCTCAACCATGGTAAATCAAAGCAACAAACAAATATCCCACATATCTAAGTATCAGAATTAGGGTTAAGAATTAGTAGAGTCACCGAGACCTTGGTTATTCATGATAGTCAGAACAGAAGAACGCGTCTCAACTGTGATCCATTCAATGCGACGCAGCGCACTAGTGTAAACCAATAGCCAAGACAAGCTACATCCAGTTTATACTACAACCTACACCGATAGTCATGTCCATAACTATCTCAGTTGTGAATACCATTTATATCTTATAAGGGACCGACAATGTAATCTTCTGTGTGACTACTAACACACCACATTGTCTACAATAAAAGATAATTGGACATTTAGCATACAAGCAATCATAAAGAATGCAACAATGTGAAAACATTTATTTCAGTCAAATGGAAAATTGAATAAATACAATCTAAAAGCTCACATAAAAGTTTGCTTTACAGTATACTCCAACACAAGGAACATGGGGGACAAGGATCTTACACATCTAATGTAAAAGCAAGACTAGCACATGCTAAACTAGCTGGGAATAAACTAATGCTACTAGAGTCTTGACTATTGCTAATGTTTCCAAGACTTACTTAGGCTTAGAAAAATACTTAATAAGATCTTAAACACATGCATGAATCGTGGCTAAGAAAATGAATAGGCTAGGGTTTAAAAACATATTAAAATGGACAAAAATTCGGCTTACGCGATTAAACCGAAAATTCAAACGACGATCGATAAAATGAAATCGAACGAGCTATATAATTATATTATCAATATCATAATATAATATATAAGCACATAATC